TTTTGGTGGCCGAAGGGGTAGCTGGCTGTTCTGTCTCTGCTCCCGCGCCCTTGCACTGCTTAATGAGACCGGGGCCGTAATATGCTGTCATATTCCGGCCCCGGTCTCATTAAGCAGCGCGAGGGCGGGGGAGCAGAGACAGAATAGCCAGCTCCCCCTGCGGCCACCAAAAGAGCTCCCTCTGCGGCCGCAGGTCAGCCAGCTGCCTGCCCGGCTTCAGGTGCCGACGACCCACCGGGAAATTTCCCGGTATCCCGGTGGGCCAGTCCGGCCCTGGGTGGGACTGCACAAAACTATCCACATTAAAAAATAATATAGAATGCGTAATAGGAAAACTACTGGGCTAACCATTTACCCTAACTATACAGAGTTTTCTCTTTCATGTAGACCTCCCTAAAATAAATATACCTCTACAAATGCTCTTAATTCAGATTCTAATGGCCACAAACATTTGTATTGCCAGACGTTGGAAGACGTTGGAAGACCCCAGAAACTCCCTGCTGGATCGAAATTAAATGTCAGGTAGATTTTCAACGATTAATGGAGAAAGCAGTATATACAAATTAAAAAAATCTAGACTTGTATTATAGAATTTGGAACCCGTGGGAGAAAGCATTCTATACATCGGTGGCCCAGTAAATGCTCCCCTACCTCTTCCCATTCCCCCATGATGGGAGCGCCCGGCAACAGATGAATGTTTGATGTATTTACCCTACGGACATCTAACTCACTTAATCTTTGCATATGTAGTAGAAGAAGAAGAGGAATGAATGCCAAGAATAGCATTACCTACTTGTTATTTTTAACATATCTTCAACGTTGACTGTAAAGGAATATAAAATATAAATATAATTGAAAAATGGATATAAATGAAAGGAAATAACAAATGATGATTTTGATACTCGATATCACCTCAGATGCAAAGGTTACCATAAGGTAAAGAATACCCATGTCGGATATTTGAAAAAAAAAAAAGCTATTCCAAAAATATTAGAGGCCCACATTTACTATTGGTTTAGAACCATGTTCTTGAATTCTCAGACAAAGACCTAAATTTATTATTTTTGGCTAAGCTTTACAAATGATATGATACTTTTGGATAAACTATTAAATCATTTGAAAATTTTGTCCAAAAATATGAAATCATTCGAAAAACTTATCCCAACAAAATTAAATCAAGACCAAAGAGAGCAATGTGACATTGATCTGTCCTATATTTACCCAGAAGACAATGTAATGTATGCCTAGAATATGTAATATTCTACTAAAGTACCCACATTTAACAGAGCAACACATATGGCTGATGGCGGTATAATCCCAACCAACATAGGAGATGGATCCAGTCTTCAGATTTTCACTCAAGAGGTAAGTAGTTCCATATAAAACTTCTAATGAAATAGAATTCTGCTCACATATTATAGAACTTCTCTAGAAAATAGAGAAGATATTTTGGAAGAATTAAACACAACCATTGTATCAGACAAAAATAATCCTGTTATTACTACCATTTATTCAACCACAGATCAAATCCAAACAGATTTGACAGAAAAAAACTCAACACATTTTACCCAACTCTTATGAATCAGGATCTCTATAAGTATTTCAAAAGTTAACATTCACAAATATTGAAAAAACTCAAAATATTCAATCTGACACACATATTTATGAAAAGAGAATATATAACAGTTTAGAAAACTTGAAAAAGGATGAAACAACAGAAGTTCAGCTAGCAGATAAAAGGGTGGCATAGCCATTATTACCAATGATACTACGTTATATGCAAAAAGACTATCACTATCCTCGTAAAAATGCTTGTTAAAGATAAGGGCATTTTTTTGGACATACTCACTAAACAGGATTTGACTTCCTAAATGCACTAAACTCATGTATATATTTCATAAACTTACTTAGAAAAATCCATAAAAGACAAAAAGAACCACCAGGTCGCCCCACCTATGAGGAAGCAAATCCCTACTTTCCAGTGTTTCAAAATATGTAGATATTTTTCTTTGTGCTTTAATTATCAAAATGAAATACAATGGAAAGATAGCTAAATTCTAGTCATGCACAATGTACAATCTTCTTATACAATCAGAACTCAAGACAAATGTTTTCAAGCATTTCAACAAATTCTAAGACAGGAACAGTTATCCTTAAAAATACAAAAGACAAACAGACATTTTTAGTTGAAGGAATAAATATTACTTTGACCAATATTAACTTTTAGTTCAATTATACTTTTTCATTTTCTGAAGAGGGTGACCACTATGGTGATGCAGTATCCCCCAGCTACACCAACCTCTACATGTTAGAAAGGGAGTCCAATTATATATTGGAAAGAATCCTGCAATTTCAAGGCTACAGTCGCCCCATACCACAGGGTGTGAGCTTTGGCAGCCACTGGACCAAGTCTCACTGATTTCAACGGGCGATTTGTGAAGCCCAACACTTACTGCGGCCTGCTGTTTGTCCCAAGGTGGGAGATTTGGCCAATCTCCCACCCTGGCAAAGCACCCATTATTGTCTGGGCTCTGTTCCCCTCTTGGACCAGTGGGGGTCTACTTAATCCCCGCTGGACCTGACCACTTTAGCCTTCATACAGAGGCTAAACCTACTACAGTCCTCATACAGAGGTTACCACCTACTTCAGGCATGAGGCCTAGGGAGCAATTAAGGAGCAATTCTGGGCAAAAGTTGAAGAACACTTCAGTTTGGCGAGACCAGTTTTTTTTTTACCTGTGGAGGGAGATCTGCGGCATAGTGGAGAGAGGTCTATGAGGCCCCTGCCGGGCAAATCTACTTTCAAGGAAGCTACATCTCATTAACAGTGCCTTCCTTGGTTGTGAGTCACTAGGGGTCGTACCCCAACACACCACTCAAGCATGTTGAGGACCACTAGGCGTTCTTGACAGCTACTTAGCTGACGACGCTTATGAACCTTATGCAGTTTCCCGACCGGGAACGACTTGGACTCTGCAAGTCTCCTGGTCTGTGGTAATGAAGTGTTGGCTATTAGACAATCCTGGGACTAGGGGGCATCTCACATTGGTGCCGACATGCTGATCTCTCAAGTGGACATAGCGAGAATATTGCCTAGACGGGGAATTGGCTGACTGTCCATCCTCACATATATAACAGCATACTTTGATGCTGAGCTAATGCTCCCATGCAGCAGCCAACTTTTATTTGATGAGTATCTAGTCCCAGTGGTTTCAGAGTGCCATTTACCCAATACTTTGCATTTGTACATTTATTTAGTTAAACTTTATTTTTCTTGTGATCTATGTTACTTAACTAATGTTTCAGCAATCACTAGATATTAGTTGACTTATTCATATTCTCCTTTGTAATGCATTATAATTTCTGCTACCAGCACAGCTGGAATGCACAAGCACTACCTTGTTCTTAAAAAACATGCAGTTCATTGTTATTATACGCATATATGTATACTGTACATTATTTTCTTTCCATTTCTTTTTCATTACAGAAGCAGTAAGAAATCAGCCATTACAGCAACATGAACAACTATGCATTATTAATGTTACTTTTTCTAGAATAAGCGTGCTTGCTCTAGATTTGAATTTGGCACTTATTACACTTTTCCTAGCTTTAGCATAGGCTGACCTGAGGGTATTAAACAGCCTAGCATTGGTAATAGGAAAAGGGTAAAATAAGGTTCAAATATGGACCTTAAATGTAAGAGTATGTAATTTGGCTTAAAGAAAAAACCTCTTCAACTGAAAGAAAGGGTTCCACTATAAAACCCTTTAAATGCAATAAGAAAGTAAAATATTAGATTAGAATCCAATAAATTTCAGGAGTGGTATTCCTTTAAATGGGCAATATATGAAGCAGATATTGAATAACTTGTAAAAGACAATAATAGAAATCTAATACAAATAATACAATAATTCACCTTTTGTTACCATGCATTGATTAAAACATGTATCTGAAATATGTAGAAAATATATATAACTTAGTAGTAGAAATGTCTCTGTATTGATACAATAGTCTCTTTCAAAATGACACTGTGGTCTGTGATTTGTTAGCTGTTTACAGCTTTCTCCAGTTATGATCGAACTGGAATATGTTAGCTGAATGAGCTGATTTAGTATTGTACAAAATTATATATATAAGCCAGTTGATATATAATTGTATGTACTTAGTAAAAAATATAATAATAGCTAGCAGATCATGGTTAATGATCTGTAGTTTAGTAGATAAGTTCCATGTTGCTCACAGAAAGTGAAACAAAATCCGAAGTGCTAAGTGCAATAAAATACGTTTATTGGATAAAAAAGAAAAGTTGTGCACTTACAATAACGCAAAGAGTCTAAGTGCTTAACTGGAATCTGGAGAACCTGGTGTTTGCAGCTTGTTCTTTTCGGTCCGCCGGCAGATGAATGGACCTGTGGATAGCCGCGTGCGTGTCACCGATCTCCTGCGTTCCAAGTGAAGCCCGGTCTTCTTTGCGATAAGTGCCACAAAGTGTTGGAGTCCTTACGCGTTTCGTGAGTCTAATGCTCACTTCATCAGAGGATATTGTGCAAGGAGAACCCACGGGTTTAAATAGCTGATTGCTGCTTCAGTTTATGTTAACCCTTTCATGCTTATGTTCATACTTGCTCTAATTATTAAAATTGTTTTAATACTGTACATATATATTCTTATAATAAATTTGATCTTTAAGGAATATATTTCATCATATAAAACACATTATAGGAGAAAATTCTAAGAAGTTATTATAAAAAGTTATAAAAAGAATTATAAGAAAATTTAACACTTCACTAAAAATATTTCATTAGAAGATAACATTGTTTTTAAAAAATGAGGGTGACATCATTAAAAGGATATAATATTGTTATGTGGTGTAACAACATGTTAAAAGTAGTATAACTGCATATTAAAATGATAATACAGATATCTTAGAAAATTGTACAGTGTTTGTTTATGCAAATGAAGATTAAGACTTTTGATATGGAGAAAACTTTCATCAGTAATATGAGAATGAACAGTACATAAAATAATATTTACACATATATTTTATGTACTGTTCATTCTCATATTACTGATGAAAGTTTTCTCCATATCAAAAGTCTTAATCTTCATTTGCATAAACAAACACTGTACAATTTTCTAAGATATCTGTATTATCATTTTAATATGCAGTTATACTACTTTTAACATGTTGTTACACCACATAACAATATTATATCCTTTTAATGATGTCACCCTCATTTTTTAAAAACAATGTTATCTTCTAATGAAATATTTTTAGTGAAGTGTTAAATTTTCTTATAATTCTTTTTATAACTTTTTATAATAACTTCTTAGAATTTTCTCCTATAATGTGTTTTATATGATGAAATATATTCCTTAAAGATCAAATTTATTATAAGAATATATATGTACAGTATTAAAACAATTTTAATAATTAGAGCAAGTATGAACATAAGCATGAAAGGGTTAACATAAACTGAAGCAGCAATCAGCTATTTAAACCCGTGGGTTCTCCTTGCACAATATCCTCTGATGAAGTGAGCATTAGACTCACGAAACGCGTAAGGACTCCAACACTTTGTGGCACTTATCGCAAAGAAGACCGGGCTTCACTTGGAACGCAGGAGATCGGTGACACGCACGCGGCTATCCACAGGTCCATTCATCTGCCGGCGGACCGAAAAGAACAAGCTGCAAACACCAGGTTCTCCAGATTCCAGTTAAGCACTTAGACTCTTTGCGTTATTGTAAGTGCACAACTTTTCTTTTTTATCCAATAAACGTATTTTATTGCACTTAGCACTTCGGATTTTGTTTCACTTTCTGTGAGCAACATGGAACTTATCTACTAAACTACAGATCATTAACCATGATCTGCTAGCTATTATTATATTTTTTACTAAGTACATACAATTATATATCAACTGGCTTATATATATAATTTTGTACAATACTAAATCAGCTCATTCAGCTAACATATTCCAGTTCGATCATAACTGGAGAAAGCTGTAAACAGCTAACAAATCACAGACCACAGTGTCATTTTGAAAGAGACTATTGTATCAATACAGAGACATTTCTACTACTAAGTTATATATATTTTCTACATATTTCAGATACATGTTTTAATCAATGCATGGTAACAAAAGGTGAATTATTGTATTATTTGTATTAGATTTCTATTATTGTCTTTTACAAGTTATTCAATATCTGCTTCATATATTGCCCATTTAAAGGAATACCACTCCTGAAATTTATTGGATTCTAATCTAATATTTTACTTTCTTATAGCATTGGTA